GTAAATCTGATATGATGAAAACTTCCAAATGAAGGTGAAGCATGAGAAAGAATAAAAAAGTTGAGTAACAGATGAAAATGAGTAGATGGAGGGAAAGGAAAAGGAAGAAAAAAATAATTAGATTCCTAAACTGAAAGAAAGGAGTAAGGTGAAGAAGTCTTATGCAACAAGGGAGCCCGAGGTTCAGGAAAAAATTGGAGAAAGAGTAAACAAACCTGCGGAATCCAAATACTGAACGATGAAGGTGGGACTACCAGATACACATTGGAAAGAGAGAACTAGAAGCAAAAGCATATATGGAAACAAAAGTTGTGAAACACTAGACAGGAGCAAGTGATAGAATCAGGAGGTGTGGAATCCTGAATCAGAATGGAACCAAACATGTAATGCCCAATGGCAAAAATATCAATGACCATCAGTGTGTGTGTCCAGTTGCCACTACAATATTGGATGATTCTTTGATAATTATTTTGGCAGAATATTCATGATGAAACTAAGTTGAATGAACAGCAACTGCCTTTTGTAGAAACACAAGTGTAGAGGACAATGTTTCAAAAGTCTTCTGCCTTTCATCTTCAGGTCAGTAAGTGTCTGTATTTATAGTATATTGGTGGATTGTGGAGAGCATGTTATGATTCGTTGGTTTATCCATGTTTCTGACTGGTGGAAAGACTTCCCACAAATTCAACCAATGGTAGCCACAGGTTATTCACCTCTAATCCAGAATTTCTGTTTAGTGAAGGTTTTATTGTGTTAATGTAAAATGATTCTTTAATTTTTCTTGTCTCGAATTTGCCCGTCTCGATGATTCTAGTTTTTATCCCAGTTTATTTTGTGTCCAGTTGACATGGTATGTTCTGCAATGGCTGAGTTTTGTGTTTTCATGAGTCTTGTACTGCCTTTATGTTCTTTTATTCTTGTCACAAGTCCTCTTCCCATTTCTCCAATGTAGGTTTTGTTGCAGGAACAAGGTAGGTTTCTGTTTATATTTCATCAGAATGGATCTTAATGTCTTGCAAGATTTCCACTGGACGTCTTTGTTGAATTTCTTGGCTATATGTTTGAGTTTTTCCCTGAAATTTTGCAGGTAGGGGAGGTAAATGGTAGTGTTTTCCTTATCTTTTCTTTCTGTTGTGGTCTTCTTCAGGGAGTTTTTGATGAAAGAGGAATTGTAACCATTCTGTTAAAAGCACTCTATGATCTTTTGGTGTTCTGTTTCAATGGATGTCTTATTGTAAATGTTTTCTGCTCTCTTGTTTAGACATTGGATTATACAAT